CTCATATACTGCCAGACCCCCCCCCCCCCCCCCCTCTCTCTCTCTCTTTCTCTACTCCCATTACCCCCACTCCTTTCACTCTTTCTTTGTTCCTGTAACCATCTTCTCTCTATTCACGTTGCCCCCACAGTTGTAATTTTAGAGTTACAAGAAAAAAAATATAAAATCACAATTTTCAAATAAGGGAACCAGTTCCAAGTAGTTTGATGACAAAAACAGTTCATTATGTGAATCAAACTAAACCAGACACCTGTTCGTGATTGAACCGGCTGATCCGGTTCGGTTTTCTAAACCTTGCTTGATGCTAAGGCATTCAATTGTACCTTTTAGAATAGTCAACCACTCAAAAAATGTCTAAATGTGATAGTATAGTCAACAAAAATTTCTTTACTTCAATAGATGTCAATTTTGATTAAAAAAATCTTCATTCAAATTTGTCATTAATGGGATATTTTAAACTCTGAATGTTCAAGTAGAAGACCGACTCACTGATATATTTACCAAAGGACTTCGCAACCATTCATTCAGAAATATTCGAAAAAAACTTGGAACAGCATATTTATAAAATAAAATTTGTGAATGAGTGTTGAGGTTATCGAAGGACCAAGAAGATTTGCAAACAAAAAGGATAAGGAGTCATGGATTCATGTGCTAAATAAGGAAATACACGTGACATGGATCCATGCACAGACAAGGAAGGGGAAGAGCCATGAATTGTCCCCACTGACTAAAATTGGAACTCGACATGAAGCAAACAACAAACAAAACATTCAGGAAAGTTAATCAATTCTTTTATTTAAAATTACAACAAGCAATATTTTCCCTTAATATAGTATGAATATCAATTAAGGTATTAATAAACCAAGCTTTCCAACAACTTCTTTTCTATATACAATCTTAAGTTATTTATGAAAAATATCAACTGCTACTGGAATAAGATGTTTGTATTTAGACTTCGCGCATTTATTAGCCTAAACTGAAAAAATACCATACATAATGGACAAATTTGCTACTCATTCAAAATATGCTTAACAGGTTAGATTTACAAGAAAGAAAAAAGACCTAGAGTGAGAAAGGAGTGCAAGTTGTACATGGGGGATAAGTGAGGCTACTTGATGTGGGAAAGACATTTTAAGTCCCAAATAATTTTATAACACGTCAACAAGACAAAAAAATAGGCGTATGGAACAACAGAACTTCATTAAAGTACCTTTGGGGCGCCTACACCATCCTGTCTTGATCCAATCACCTTACCAGTGTGATCAATTCTTGTTTTCACTATATCGTGAGTCTGAAAGGAAGAAAGAAATATAAGCATTGATTTCTCCTAGAAACACCTAAAATATTTTCATAAATCCATTCATCAAATAAATCACAAAAGACATACTATATCATAGTGTTGCTCCCCACTAACATCCACAGTATCAACGCTGACAATTGAGCAAGCAAGATGTGGAAACGTGATATCAAACTGCAAAGAGCATATGTTACTATTTATTAGAAAGTTATTATGAATTTAATGAAAAAGCTATACAAAATTCAAATTGGTCCTCAATCAAAGGCAACGGAAGCCTCAATAGCCTGTAAATATATGTCGTTAAAGGGTAATGAGGATAGTGTCTTGGAAAACAAAAAACAAAAAGCTCGTAGAAAAACAACATTCTTGATTAACCAATTGCAAGGGAGGAAACTTTATGATCATTGCCAAATAAACAAGATTCCAAGTAGAAACACTGAAGCCGAGCAGTAGGATACATTAAATAACTTGCTTTGGAGATAAATCTAAACTAAGAACATTAAAAAAATTACTAAACTGAACAAAAAATCACACAAAAAAAAATAAAAATAAAAAAGAACATAGCAAGATTCTAACATTGACACGAAGCCTTTCCCCTCTTGATGTATCAACTATCAGCTTTGTCTCGGTTGCTGAATAAAAATATAATCCTGCACAGGAAGTTCATTAAAAAAAAAGTATTGCTGTAGCTAAAATGTTTTCAAACTCCGAAAGCATTGCAAAGAATGCGGCTTAAACCCCATTCAAAGCTACGCTTTACATATATCATAGCCATTCTACCATAGGAATATCAAAGATCAAACTAAATCATGAACAAGATTAATTTCAGCTTCCATAATTGCAGGAATCATTAGATTTCTCACCAAAATGTGAAATATCTCAGGACTGTGGAGTCTAAATGGATCAAATAACGTATAGCATTCCAACAGGAAATACAATGAAGTATTAAACAAGATCCAAATTCATATAATGCTTTCTGATTGCCATGTATTAATTGAATTCGTAATCAAAATCAACCTCATAGAATCCCTACAAAATACTTCTATTGTTTGTAGACAACAAAAGACCCAGAACCCTCATCTAAGTACTCACCTATACAAGAAAATAACAAATTAGCAAAACAACCTTTCAACTTTCACTTGAGGGGAATTTACATAAATAACACTTAAAACTAGCATGTTTATATAATTAGCACCCAAAACATACCATTTACTCATATAAAACTAAAATAATTAAATATAAATAAAAATACCATCTTCCCGACCCTCCCATTCTTTTTCATCAAAAAGCTTCTTCACATGTTGTCGGCCTATTGAATCTCTTCCCCAGCAATATCTCATCACTCCATACCACCCTGCTTATATCCTTAACCTTCAATCGATCTCATCAATGCCCTCCCTAGTAAAATCTTGTCCCATCATTCATATTTCTTCTTCTTCACTATGGTTTCAAGAATAACAATAGAAGTCAAGGCGTGTTACAAAAATTAATGGTGTGGTGAGTTTAATAAATAGTAAAGGTATTAGATATGTAAATAGAATAGTTTTTGGTGCGTTCATGTAAATTCCGCTCAATTTATTGCCTAATTTTTTTCATAAGCCACCTTATGGCAAGAAACACAAATCATATTTGACAAACTTGATTATACAATAGATAGATAGCAATGCTCCGAAACCTTCTAAGACTACTTGTTGGGATACTTAAATTTAAATATGATTGAAAAGGTTGAATTGGGTATTTTAAATCAAACTAAAATTTAAGTTCCACTTGACTCGATGTAATTTAGATAATACCGTTATCTAGAAGGCAATGTTATGGGCATAGCAGCACTATCCATCAAATCAACCAATTTGGTTTAATGTCAACCTACTTAAGGAAATCAATACTATTTAGAATTACCCACAATAAACATGAGATTGTTTCTTCCCTTCCTTTGGACCTTCAAAATTTAGTTATCACTATTTGCCTTAAAATCAATCTTTCCTAATGATTTTATTTAGACATACTATCAAAAAAATCACCTTTTTACTTCAAGTAAGACAGCATTGATAAAGAGAACAAAAAAAAACAAACAACCCCTTGAAAGTTCATGTTTCTGCCATGAACTGAAAAATCATAAGCTAACTTAAATTTTCGATCGTGTTGAAATTCATACTGCCGTGAACTGAAAAATCATAAGCTAATTTAACTAGAACAATACATAAATGCCAGTCATACTATTACATAAAATATAGCTAAGTTTGATAGCAAAATATAGCTGAAAATCAGGAAATCCTAAGTGTTATCTTTTTTTTTCCCCTTCAACATAACTGTTTGCATCAGATATCTTCGTAAAAACAAATGTTCAATCAATCCACTCTCCTAACAACAGTTTCCATTCCAAAATTACCTGAAGATATTGAACATCTCTGAAAAGAAGAGACCAAACACAACTGTCCCAATTACAAACGAAACATCAAATCAACAATATAAATTAAAAAATAAAAGACATTTAACAGTAGAATACCCCGGAAATATGCCCCCTAAGTTGTCAGAAAAACAGCAAACAGCAAACAGCCAAAAATTTGTTTAAAAATAATCTAATTCAAGAAGTTGCAGCGAATAAACTCACTAATTTCGGATATGAAAAGGAGAAGTATGATAACGGAGGAGATGACCGTGATAAGACCTCCGGATCGGGTCCTATCATAGAAATCATCTTTGATCTTGGGATATGCGTCAAAATTCTTGAGCTTATTGAGGATCTCCATCTAATTGGGGAATGAATCGAGGGTCACGAAATCGGAGGACGAGAAGTCAGACCCTATAGAAAAGAATAAGAAACGATTCAACAAAAATCTAGGGTTTCCGTGTATCTTCCCCGCTTTCCCCCTCCGGCCGGCGCTCTATCTGAGATCGAAACAACGATCCGCAGCAGAGGTTACTTGAGCTGAATTTTGTAAGTCGGCGTTTTCCTCTGGACTTCAACTAGTGTTTTTAATACAAATTTCATAATTATTTTATGTATATTTGAAATTATATATTGAGCCGAATTCAGAACTATATATTAAAAAGTGTGTACGTCGGTATTTATGTTAAACCCAGCCGCAGCCCAAGTTTCTTCAGGAACCTATTACTCTACTAACTTCTGATCTGATCGATGCTCTCTCTCTCTTGCATTTCTTCAGCCTTGGTCACGCCTCTCTCGATCGCTCATCTTATGGAAAAAAATATTACATCAGTACTACACACGTAGAGTAGCGTGCGTAGCCAATGAAATCAAGTCATGGTACCTCGCGCGACAAAGAAAAAAAGTGGTAACACGGGGAATATTCCCCCCGTGTTATTCATGTGTTATCGTGTGTTATTCATGTGTTATTGATGTGTTATTGTATTATTATAACACCAAAAATATTTTCATGATACAATAACACTTGAATAACACACAATAACACTTGAATAACATGAAGCATATTTCCGACAGAGAAAAAACGACGCAATAACACTGAGAATATTCTCCCCCGTGTTATTCATGTGTTATTGATATATTATTGTGTTATTATAACACCAGGAATATTTTCATGACACAATAACACATGAATAACACCGAGGGAATATTCCTCGTGTTACTGCGCCGTTTTTTTTTCTCTGTCGCGCGGGGTGTCGTAGCGTGATTTCATTGGCTACGCACGTTACTCTAAGTGCGTAGTACTGATGTAATATTTTAAGCATCTTTTGTGCCTCTCCGGTGGCAACGGGTTGTTTTTTTCTCTCCCTCTTCCCTCCAATCTCTTGTGTCAACTGGTTTCTTCTCTACTATCATTCCTACCTCCAATCTCCAACTCTCTCTCTATCTATTTTGCTCTCAGTCCTCCAATGTTATCACCTAATTTTTTTTTCAATGAAATGATTTTCTCTTTACAATTTTTGACTTTCTCATTTGAGGTTTAAAGTGAGAATTCAAATTTTGCTATTTCTAGCTTTCTCATTTGCTATTTGAAATGAGAATTTGAATTTTGAATTTGTGGTTTTCTCTTTATGATTTGAAATTTGAATTTTTTGAACTTGTGACTGAATATAATATGTAAATGGTCTTTTATCTAACCTTTGATGTTTAAGTGAGAACTTGAGAAATGACTGAAAGAGAATGCAAGATTTATTGATAGAAATTAGTTTGTCGTTATTGCATCAAAATATATACATTTAGACGTATATATTTTACTCGCGAAAAGTTAATTTTAAGTGATATATTTTAGGTGATGCCAAAGATTTAAATGTAAATATTAAAATCTAGTTATTAGATATGTTAATATATAAAAATTGTGTAGTATGAATATAAATGCCTCAAAATTTAATTTCCAACGTCATTTTTCTTTAAAAAAATGAAGGAAAAATACCATTTTAGAAATATGCGCAATAATTAAGGCCAATTTGCTGTCTTCTGCAAGTAGATCTCTGAATTCAATTTTTATTTTTTATTTTTTTTAAGAATAAATAAAATAAAATAAAAAAAATTTAATATTTGTTTATCTGTTTTTTTTATATATATATTTTTTATTCTTCGAATAAAAATTTTTATTTTTAAAATAGTCAAAATAGAAAAAAAAAATTTCATGTTTTTAAACACCGAAAACAACAATTCACACACCGGTTGCCCGCCACCCGCCACTCACCAACCCACAGGTAATGCATCTTGTTTGGTGGAGCAAACAAGTCATCGTATGTCTCATGGGAGACAGCTTGATACTAGAGTACATGTAGGTCCAATTGTTTCATAAAAGTTATAATTTTTTCTTAAAAAAAAGAAAAAAATACCAACATGCCTTATATTTTTTATTTTTAAAAATATATAAATTTTAACAGTGTGAAACACATTTTTTAACAACAAAAAATAAAATAAAGTATATATATATATCAAAAAGTGATCCCAAACAGCACCTTAACACTTGAATTTCATTCTCTTTCATTCTCACGTATTCATATTCAAAAATATAAAAATATATGAAGGGGTAAGTTTCAAATTTAATTTTTGCCTTGAAAACAAAACCTTAAAAATAAATTAATAACAATAAAATGTAATATGGGTTTGTTTAATAAGAACAATAGTATAATGAAAAATTATTATAAACATGAATTAAAATACAACTCGTAATAATAATAATAATAATAAAATGTGCCGAAGAACAAATAAAATTCTAACGAAACCAAAATATAATTACAATTTCAAGATAAAAAATAATGGATTGTTTAAATTTATAGCACCCCAACTCCACTTTTTAGGGTCCGTTTGGGGCAGCAGTGCAGTGGAGGTGCGACACCGCACTGCAGTTTTATTTTTTTTGGATAAGGAACGTTTTAACAGTTTTTTCAAAAAAAAAATACTGCTGAAATCTGCATTTTCACATCACTCTTGATCAGGTGCGGTGCTAGCATTCTAACTGCAGTTCACTTAGAAAATATAATTGACATCACAAATATTTGAGCATCATATCATTATTCAGCAATTTCATAATTTTTTTTTTTTTTCAATAAGATGCAGACGCCACAAACATATCATAAATTTATACCACCCAAAAATTTCATATCACATTAATCATATCACAATTTAAAATTTTAAATAGTGAAATACACCTTATGTATCTATAAGATGGTATACATGCATATATATATATATATATATATATATATAT